TATAAGGGTGTGGGTATTTCATGAAACCCAAGGGTCCAAGGACAGCTGGATCCAGACCAATAGGAACTGGAAGGTTGTTATAAGCAGAGACATACTCACCCTGATAAAGTTTCATTCCGTTTCATTCCTTTCTTTGTAAGACCAGTGTTCTCTGCATCTCCAGTCCATACAGGGAATGTAGCCACTCCACAGTTACAGCCCCCGGGTCCTGCACAGTTAACTAGCAGTCTTTCAATTCCAAAGTTTAATTACCAGGAGAATCTGGCATCTGACTGCCTTAGCTGGGTGTAGGAGCTCACCCCTGATCCATCCAGCAGTGGTCAGAAGAGATGAGAGCCTGCTGTGATCTGAACAAGTATTTCTAAAGAGGTCTGAGTTAATATTTTGTCTAAGGGAAGAGACTTTTTTGATACAGGATGCCAAGAAGTCATCTAATATGTGTTGATGGGTGAACTCTTTTCTAATAAACATTCAGTCTACATATCCCAAAACAAAGCTTTCATTTCATGGCCCTCAGGAGGTTCTATTCTACACATTTCCTGTATCTTTACACTATCTGATGTTTTGAGATGGGGATCCAATGTTTAACAGTTGAGTTATAGAAAGCTCAAGATCATCATTCTGGCTGTTTTCTACCACATGGTACACACTCACCCAACTCTGAAAGTATGCAAGTTACCTCAGATGCTATACTCCCTCATGTAAGTCTTTGCTCCCACGTGTTCTTTTCCTAGTTTGCCTCATTCTCTCATCCCTGGAAAGTAACATTCCCACACCCCTCATCTAGGAAGTCCTCTCCTGTTCCCCATCAGCAAGCTAAGTGAGGTGTCCTTGCCTGTGCTCCCATAACTCCATACACTTGCTGTGCTGCACGAACTCATTTTGTGGTTGGTTTTGTTTTTCAAGAGGCCTTTCCATTTCAACCTCTCACAGTGCCTCAGAAGGGCCTGCCACATAGTAGGCCTTCAAGAAAAACAGCAGGTGAATAAAACAAACCTCAATTCTTTAAAGTCTGGCTTGATATTTTCTTGTCTCTATTATCCACAATTCTAGTGTGGAAGCTTAAAGTGCTGGCTCTGATGGCAGAATTCCTGGGTTCATCTCTTGTCTCTGTTTAGTGTCTTGGTTGTGTGCACTTGAGCAAGTTTACCTAATCTCTCTGGCCTCCATTTCCTCATCTGTAGATGGCATAATAATTGTACCTACCTCAGAGGGTCATTGTGGGGATTACATGAGTTGAGTGCCTAAAGTCTGACACCTAGAAACTACTCCACAAAGGTTATTACCATTATCAACCATCTAAATCACCACCAAGAAACTTTTGTAGACCTAAGTGTGTTTCATGAGCAACATGAAGGCCAGTTCTTTAAGGTATGGTTAGTGTTTTCAGCAGCCATTGACCCTTCAGAAAGAGGTTCATGTGGTCTTTGTCTGGTAGTGCTTTCATTGTGTGCTCTAAGAGATAAGTAACCTTAGAGGATCTAGGGACTAAGAATTGGGTTAGAAGTTCTGCCAGTGGATGCTTTCTGTAGCGAATGAGTGTGCTTATCATTTTGTGATTGTATTTGCTTTTGATGAAGGAGCAAGCTTTTTGGGAAACAGGTAAAGACTTGGTGAAGTGATTGTATGTGTGATGTCCTGGGGTCTTAGCATTCTCAGCCTTGAGGATTGGTGGCCAGAAACTATCCTTTTAAGAGCACAGGGCTGACAGGAATTTTTGTAGAAACTAACAGGCTGCTTCTAAAATTTATATGGAAATGTAAAAGACTTAGAATAGCCAAAACAATTTTTTAAAAAAAGAACAAATGATTTAATTTCCCAATTTCAAAACTTATTATTAAGGTGCATTAGGACAGTGTGATACTGGCATAAGGATAGACATGAAGATCAATAGAAACAATTGACACTCCAGAAATAGATCTTTATTTTCAACTGACTTTTTGACAAAGGTGCCAAGACAATTAATCCAGGATAGCCTTTCTAACAAATGGTGCTGGGACAATGGATATCCACATGGAAAATGATGGATTTAGATGTATACCTCACACCATATATAAAAATGAACTCAGAATGATTATGGACTTAAATATAAGAGCTGAAACAATAAAACTTGTAGGGGAAAAATAGAAGAAAATCTTTTAGACTTCAGATTAGTCAAAGATCACTTAGATATATAAACAAATGCACAGTCTATAAAAGAAAAAACTGAAATTGGACCTCTTCAAAATTAAACATTTTTGTACTTCAAAATATAGCATGAAGAAAATGGAAAGACAAATGGCAGATCAAGAAAAAATATTTGCAAAACACATAATCTAAAAAAGGACTGAAAACATATACACTTCAATAATAAGACAAAAATCTCATTGAAAAGATGGTTAAAATACTTGAATAGAAATTTCACCAAAAAAGACATAAAAATGGTTAGTAAGAACATGGAAAGGTGGTCAATGTCATTAGTTGTCAGGGTAATGCAAATTAAAACCACCGTGAGATACCATTTCATACCCACTGGAATGGCTATACTAAAAAAGATAGCAAATATTGGTGAGGATGTACAGAAATGGGAGCCCTCATACATGCTGGTGGGAACATAAAATAATGCAGCCACTTTGGAAAATAATTTGGCAGTTTCTTAAAAAGTTAACAAATACCTATGAAATGACCCAGCAATTTCATTCCTGGTATTTACTCAAGAGAAATGAAAAGTTATGTCCATGCAAAGACTTGCACGGGTATATTCTTAACAGTTTTATGCATAATAACCCCAAATTTGAAACAACCTAAATGTCCATCAACAGATCAATGGATAGGCATCATGTGGTAAGTCCATATATTGAAATATTCTGCAGAAAAGAAAAAAAGAAGTAACAACTGCTAATAGGAGCTGTGGCAAACCTCAAAAGTGAAAGAAGCCAGGCACAGGAGAGCATATATTGTATGATTCCATTTATATGAAAAGAAAATAGATTAATGGGTACCTGGGACTGGGAGTGGGAGGGGGAGATGGGCATTAACAGTGAATATAAGGGATGTTTGGGGGATGATAGACACATTCTATCTACTTTGTGCTTTAGCATAAGCACCTAATACCCACCATTATTGCATAATTTGGTAAATTATTGAAAACCATTGTCCAGTTGAAATGGATGAACTATATGATATACAAAATATACCTCGGTAAAGTCAGAGGAGGCAAAGCAGAGGGTGTGATGAGGAGGAGAGAGAAACACAAAGAGAGACAGGTGAGAACAGCTGGAGCCAGGCTGTTTGGATCTGAAACCTGGCAAGTCTTTGCCTCAGTTTCCTATTAGTGAAATTGGGAAAAATGAGTTACTAATCACAAAGCAGTCTTGGGAAGATTGTGATAATATATGAAGCGTGCTTAACAGAATTGGGCCATAGAGAGAGCCTGATATAATAGTAACCATAATAATAATAATAATAATAGTTATTATTGGTAGTAGTATTTAATCTACCAAGGATGCAGCTGTGATTTAGATAACTTAATTCAAATCTTGAAGAAGGATCAGACTTGAAGGATCATTTGCAGCTTGCAAATGACAGTGACCAGTCCTGTGGACATGACCTTTGGGGGAATCTGAGAGCCCGTGGCACAGGATCTGTTAGGCGTATGCAGGCTGGGAGGTTAGAGCACCGGAGCCTTGCTAATGACAGCTGTTTCTTTGTGGCAGCATCATTTACAAAGGTGTCACCTGCTGCCCATAACATATGATATTTTAACCCCAGTCCAACAACCCTTTATGTTATACTCCACTATGTGCCAGGGCCTACTGGGGCAAAGGACAGGTGATTTGGAGGTGTGGAGGAGGGACACCTTGTCTGTGAGGGTTACTAGAGGAAGAGATGTCTTGGTGAGGCTTAACAATCCCCTGACACTTCCCAGATGAAGGGTGTGGAGAGTTACCCACAGGCAGAAGGTACAGCTTGAGCAAACCCCTACGTGGAGCTCGATGAGTTCAGTGAAGGGCTGATACGAAGAGCAAAGTGACAAGAAACAAGGTCCCGTGGAGGTCCTTGTGAGCCATGACAAGTAATAAAGAACTTGGATTTCTCCTGAGGACAGTGAGGACCAGTGAAGAGGTCTAAGCAAGTACTAGGACCGGCTCAGATACCTTCCGTTATGCGGTCCCAATGGACCCTCGCACTGTACCTTGAGAGATCCTGCTCTGTCCATCAGAAGCAAATAAATGCCTTCCTGGATACTTGCATTTAGCACTCGAGCATGCAAGTGTTCCTCCAAGGACCACGTCCACACTAGTGTCTGGCTGAGAAACCGCTTCAGGGCTCCCATGAGGGGCGTATGAGGCATACTGTGGTGGCCGAGAGCCTGTCTGTAAGGCTGGACCTCAGAGACGCTGAGGACTTGTAAAGGCTTCATTCACTTCAACCTGGGTGTCTGCTCTGGCTGACAGCCCATTAATGAGCCCCAGCGGCTGAGGGACAGGTATTGTGCCGGTTACTATAGCATCACCTTGGAAAGGATCACTCAGTGAGAGCCACTGGCTGAGTGAGGCAGGAGGGGGATGTGGTCAGAAGCAGCCAGAGGGGCTGGAGAGAGGCTGCAGATGCTGTTGCTGGTCTCAGGACACCTCGTGGGCTGGAGCCCACTTCAGCTTCTCCAGCTGCAGCCCCAGGGAGGGAGTGAGGCTGTGCTCAGCCTGAGAGTGGCTGCCTGAGACAGTGTCACAGGCTGCTGCTGAGCTTGTGGCTTTCAAGGGACTGAACTCCTGGCCAGACACTACTTGGCCTCTCTTTTTGGGGGGAGGGGGGAGGGATTTAGGAAGGGTGTCTCGTCTTGGAATATCTGAGCTGGGTTTCATCTCCTTTTTGATGTTAAGTAGTTACCTCCATGAGAACTGACTTCAGGGTACTACTCATCGAGGAGAGCAGAGTGGTCCCCACGCTGGAGATGAGGAAGGATGACAGTTTCTGAGACTTAACTGTTAGTGCTTGGAGGTCTCCCTCACCCATTCAAAATGCCTTTTAAAGCATTTGATACCTTCAAAGAAAAAATTCTGAAACCTGGAAAAGAAGGAGTGAAGAACGCCGTCGGAGATTCATTGGGGATTTTACAAAGGTAAAGTTTGAATGCAAACTTCAGGTTATTTCTGAGTAGTTTCACAATGCCAATGTTTGAAAGAATTTGCTTCATATTTTAAAAGCCACATTTTTAAAAAGGAGTGGGTAGGTCAGATTAGATGGCTTCTGGAGTCCTTTCCGGCTCCAACACACAATGCCTGGAGTTTAAAAAAAAAATGCATCGAAAGTATAGAATTGAATTAGGAAAATAACAAGACAGGCATTTTGTTTATATGGCAGAATGTGTACTTACTAGAGATGGTGATGTTGCATATTGTGTGTTTGGCATTGAATTAGAAAAGATACAGGGAGATAATATTTCCTGTTAATTCAATAATAATGCCAAAATCAGGAACCCCGTTACATGGTTATGCTTTTAGTTGAAATAATTTTTAAGAATTTTTCACTACAAATGAAAATTGGATATGTATTTAGCTTGTTATATAAACTATATAGGGTGGTTGCTGATTGGTTTTGAAAGAAAAGAATAGTTACACAATAGTTTGAAGAAAGTATCTTTAAAAATTAGTATTTAAGTAAAAAAACCTTACATGGTTACAGTGAGAAAATATTATGTACTATCATTAAAGTGAATGTTTTTGTCCAAATAGAAACACTTTGTATTAAGATGGAAATTAATAGCTGGAAGTTAGAATAAATGCATGTATGTGGTCATTTCCAAACCAAAAAATAAACATTTTTTTAGAAGTAAAATACAACACTGAAAAAAATTAAAAAAAAGTAAAATACATTGTTATTGGAAGGAGAGTTTGCCACAAATGAATGAATTGATGGGACTTTTTTTTTTTTTTTTTTTTTGATGGGACTTTTTAATCTGTGGTTTTTTATAGACATAGCCTTTCTAGGTTTTATAGGTGAATTTATAAGCAGTCCTTAGGCACAAGGTAAAATGACTTCTTTAAACTCTCTGATATAAAAAAATGTGAAAAATACTCTTGATAAGATTTTTATATGTTTGAATGACTCTTTCCAATCCTGATGAGTGAAAATGCCATCTGGTATCTCCTTTTAACTTTTACGTGGTATCCTTTAAATTAAAAAAAAACCTTCAGCATGGAAGGGACTATTTCTAGGCACACAGAGGTTCACTCCATTCCTTGGGTTTTATAACACAGGGGCTCCTTGTCAGTGTGAAATTTCCACTGTATCACTCTTTTTTTTTTTAAGATTTTATTTATTTATCTGACAGAGAGAGAGAGAGATCAAAAGGAGGGAGAGCAGCAGGCAGAGAGAGGGAAGCAGGCTCCCTACTGAGAAGAGAGCCTGATGCAGGGCTTGATCCCAGGACCCTGGGATCGTGACCTGAGCCAAAGACAGAGGCTTAACCCACTGAGCCACACAGGTGCCCCTGCACTGTATCACTCTTGATGAACTTTCATAGTAAGAGAACTGGGTTTAGCCTGTCATTAATTTAAATGTTAAAAAAAAAAAGATTTCAATTAGGCCCACAATGAATTATTACGTATAGATAAAAACCTAGCTGACAGCAGGATAAACCAGCCAAACATAGGAAGTAATTATAATGACCTTTCCTTTTAAGAATGTTTTAGCCTTGTATTGCGCACTCCCCAGGTAACGTCCATCTTACTGTGGTGGTGTTCCTTTGATTAAAAATGAAAGAGGAAGGCACAATGGCTTGATTGGCATATTTAAGTATGATGACAAATGCATCTGACAAAGCCAGGAACAAAAATTGTGACTTTGGATTATCGTTAACTACAGTCACCATTATAATCATCCAACTCTGTGCCTTAGTTTATACACTATTTGACAAGGAAGCACTTACGAATTTTCTTTCCAACATTAAGTTGAATTGCTTTTTTGAAATTGAATCGCTTTCTTCGGTAAGAGACTTATTGTAAGAGCTGGTTTTCTAGTATTTGCTTAGATGATCCACTTGAAGATTCTTTTGTTTGCCAGATTGGTTTGCTTAGGAATAGATCAAGATTCATAATTTCCACGTTGTACAACCTCAACCCAACATGGAGCTATGTGTTTAGGACTCTGAATGGTTTCTTTGGAAGTGAATCACAACACAATAGAAAATGACCGTAACAGGGCTTGAGAGGATATAGGATGCTCTAAATGCAGGCTAGATGTTATCACTGTTGGCTTACTAGTAGAATGACTTGAGAAAAAATAGTGCCAAACTCGAACCCCTTCTTTCTGTGATCCTAGAAGGAAATTACTGGCAGAGGAAGGTTAAAAAAAAGCATTAACTGACTAGCAATCCAAGTTGACCCTAAGCTCTGACAGTCTTTGAGCAGAGCTCCAGAATTAGGACTCCTTCACCGAGACCAACTCTGATACACACTTGGTGTTCACCTTGTCTATAAGATATTTATATTTAAGTGCCCCACCCAGAGCCTGGTATACAATGAACATTCCTTCCTCCCTGCTGATTTTTCACTTAAAACCAGTTGGCAAACTCCAATGGAAAAAAAAATCAGAAAATACTGTTTTCTGTTTTGTAAGGTACAAGAACATTCAGAAGTTAGAAACGTTGACTTCCTAACTCAGCAAGCAGTGTAAATCACTGATGTCTCATAATATTGGATACTGAAATCATCATTTAAATGGAATTCTTAGGGTGCTTTTCTTAAAAAATATTTTATTTATTTGAGAGAGCACGCACATGTATTGCAGGGGAGGGGAGCAGAGTGGGAGGGAGAGGGAGAGAGAATCACAAGCGGACTCCACACTGACCACAGAGCCCCACTCAAAACTCGATCTCACCACCCTGAGATCATGACCTGAGTGGAAACCAGGAGTTGTGTGCTTAAATACCTGAGCCACCCAGGCATTTCTTTTGGGGGGCTTTTTAATTACGGAGTGTTTCTCATGCTCAGGGGAGTGGCACATGCATAGGGAAACATTTGAAGTTTGTACATGGGGCTGATTATAGTCAGGCGTTATTAGCCTTTCTGGAGAAGAGTCATTGATAAAACACAGCTGAACAATTTCATCAGCTAAAAGTACACTAGTATTTCAGAAGTGTAGGAAGAAAGAATACGTTCACTCATAGTCCAGTATTGGAACAGATGACATGGAAGGCATTACATTTAGAAACTGATCTCTAGAAATAGACATGTAGATTTTTTGACTTACATGACAATATGGGTGTCCTCTAATTGCTTATGTATAATAAAATAATAATGGCAAACATCTGTTCCAGACACTGTAAACACTTTTAATTCTTTTAAACGCTATGGGATGGGGACTACTGCAGTTACCATTTTAGAAGAGAAAGCTGAGGCACAGAGAGGTTCAGTAAGTTTCTTAAGGTCACATAGCTTATAAATGGCAGAGCTGGGTTTCAGACCAGATGTTCTCTGCCCACCATTCTTAGTCATTACACTATGCAACCTCTCTGTCTTTGCTCTTCCCACTTATTGTGTTGAAACTTAATGACTCATTTAGGTTTAGGGAGTTACTTGGGCTGCAGTGTAGCCAGCAATCACTGGATCTTTTCGGCAAGTATGAGCTTTTCTCCCAATCAGTTGTAGTATTGAAGACTTCCCAAGGGAAACTGATGGGATGCTTGGTCTCCTTATAAGTATTTATATATTCCCTTTAAAGAGATGGAACCAATCCTTGTGTGTTGCTTCCATCATCAGCATTCAGTGACTGTGTATTCAACTTATGTGCCAGACATGCTTTGTCTAGTCCATTGACAAATACAAGTGTGTGAGAGTGGGCTCTGAGGTCAGGTGAGTCCAGGTTCTAACTGCTGTGACATCATTTACTTTCTGCCTGGACAACCTCAGGCAAGTTGGCATCTACTGGCCAGGGTAATTCTAGTAAAGCGAAGTCAGGTCGCATCTCTCCCCTGCTCAAAACCTCCGCACGGTTTCCCACCTCTCTCAGAATTAAAGCCAACATCCTTCCAATGGACTTAAAGACCTTACCTGATTTGTGGGAACTTGAGAACTCTGACTTCATCTCTGGCCTTCTTTTCCTGCCTCACCCCACTCCAGCCATACTCTGCACTGATGGGGGAACTCCCTAGACCCTTCCTGTGCCAGCTTCTGCATCCTGTTTTTCACCCTGTAAGGTTTTATCTCCAATTCCTTGATGGCTTATTCTCCCATTTTCAAGTCTCTTCCCAAAAGTTACCTTCCCAGGGAGGACTCTCCCGACTCTCTTTCCCTCCTCCTCCCACCCGCTCCCAATCTCTCTTCCCTGCTGCATTTTACTCCACTTCTATCTTAGCTAGGGTTCCCTAAAAGTAGACCCTGAAACAGGAATTTGGAGAGCCTAGGATGTGATTTATGGAGGTGGAAATTGGGAGGCAGGGAGTAAAGCAGGATAGGAAAGGAGAAAACCAAGCAAGGATGTGATCTCGGGTAATACACAGGGGCCAGATCACAGTGGGGGGATCTGGACACTGAGCTGTCCCTTGAAGCAAAGGGGCCAGTCTTTTGTGTCTCTGCATCTGTTAGTCATTGACTGTGGGCTGCCCCCGCTGAGGATCAGGACCATTTCAAGACCAATCAGCCTTGCCACTCTTGTGACCCTTGGCCTTGCCTTTTGGTCTTGGCACGAGGACCCCAACATGACTGATAAGCAGTAATAGCTCTATGTAGTGGGATTTTCACTGTATTCCCAAGTGGAAGAATTCTTCCTTGGGCATCAGGACTCCTAGAGCCACGGAATCCAAAGTTGAAGCGATGAGATATCCCATAAGTGAGTTACTGGACATAATGGTAAGTGGGCTATTCCCACTTCTACCCTGTGTTTCTCAGACCAATGCGTTCTGCCCAGGGCCCATTATAAAAACTGTTGGTTTATGGAACATACTTCATTCTAAAGGATAGCACCCTATCTTCACAGGGATTTTCCTCTGAGCCAATGCCTCAGCTGCATCTCAAAGAGGTTTCCTTTGCTCTGTCAGGCTACCAGCTTCAGCATGGTGTGGCTTGAGGTAGGACCAGTGGATCCCATTGTCCTATGCCCCCTGATGTACCTCCTTTGCCA